TAATTATGATTATTCCTATAACCATGTTCTTGGTATATCGTTAAGATATTTATGATACAGTATTTATGAATCCCCTGTGAGTTGAACGATCCCAATCACGTATGAACTGGGGCCAACCGTGGATAGTCTGGGATGTTCAAGGGACTGGACTTTGGGGCCCTCAGAAATCGGGGGCGAGGGTCAGACTGATGACTTGATTGAATTCGCATAGGCGCTAGATGAAGGGGCTCATAAGCGATGCAGCTGGCGTAGGCCAAGTTAGATGGAGCGTGGTTTGGGCAACACGACGACGGAGACGACGACAAAGGAGTAGGAGTACCTACTTGGCTACTAACTTGGCTAGCAGAATGACAAGCCTCTTGTTATGCACGAGCTGCGTTCTTGTCTGGGGCACATTAAAGACACATGAATGGCCCGGCAATAAATATTATTAAAAATGTTTGCCTTTATGGCATGCTAAATGCGATGGCAGCAACAATTGCGACACTAAGCCACCGTAAGCCTATTATTTAATTTGTGAAAGGGGATGGCTGCGATGGAGGGCGGTGCAAATGAACTTTTAAAGCGCCCGAAAAGTAGACAACAAAAAAGCCAGTTTCGCAGACAATTTCGCAGGACCAAGAAGAAAGGAGGTCGGGGTTTCCAAAGGACGAGTCGCGCCAGCATCATCAGTCATCACCCTCTGTAGAAGGCGACGACTGTTTTCTGTTCTCGGCTCTCGGTTTTCCCTTTTCGAGGGTTGCAAAGGGGAATTATTCGCCAAATAGAACGCCCGCCGAAGATATGTACTTTATATTTTTTGGCAAACAACAACTGAAACAGACGCAATTCGTTACGGTCAGCTACAGATACTTGTACTGATACGCAGCAAGTAGACGGAGACAAAGTGATGGGGAATACTGTACAGAGAATATAGAGATGTCTACACACGTTTGGGATGGAACACCAGGGTTGCCAGCCTAGAAAGTAACTCAAATGAAACCGCTTAAAAGGTCAAGAACCGGAAGCTATTACTTCATTTCTTAGATTTAAGTGGAAATTGATTTAAAAATTTTAAAAATAATTTAATTTTGTTATCATAAGAAGATAGTATTTTAAAGAAAATAAAGGTAGTATATAGGGCCAATCTTAGTAAACATTATTTGTATTTAAAATATTTAAAAGAGTTTAAAAATAAATTTTAGATAATTATAATTATTTATTTAGAGTTTTTAACATAACACTCATTAGTTACCACTAAAATCTCTAAATAAACATGACTAATTAAAGACTTGTTTAAAGCTTAAAGCGTGAAATCACCATTTGGATGTGCCTAAATTTTAATAGCTAAAATTGCTGACCATCTTCAGTGAGCCACTTGGCTAATCGCTCCCCATCAACTTGGCAACAGCGTAAAACTTTGATGGCCGAGAAGAAAAAAAAAACAAAGTGAAGCATTTTCTGGAAATCAATTTACCGAGCGAGCTACACTTTCATGTTAAATCAATTGAACTCAGGCGTGCGTGGAGTGTCACTCCTCTGGAATTCTGGAATTCTTTTCTGGCCAAGAGTGGCGAAGACATGCCGACCAGCAACAGAAACAGATACAGATACCGTTAGTGCCGCCATGGCTATAGCTGTGGTATGGGTATGGGTATGGGTATGGGATATGGCATGGCCCAATGCCCGCAGCTCATCCCGCTAACAAGGCTAATTGGTCATGAAGCCTCTCGACTCGCGACTCGCGACATCCGACTCTTGGCCCTGGTCAGATCCTGTTTTTGCCTGTTCCTGCTGCTGCTGCTGCTCCTGCCGCCCCGTCTTCCTGTCCACCCACCTGTCCACGCGCCGTGACACCTGTCACATCACACAATGGAAATCAGTCGACATTGTCGCCCGGCATTTGCCCCGGACGAATCACTTCTGCTCCTGCTATGTAGCTTTGGTCCAGCGAAAACTGTCGCTGGCTATTTATTTACTCAAGCGTTCGCACTGGTTGTCCTGGTTTTTTGGTCTGGTTTTGCTACCGCTTGTGGTCCTCTGATGGATGGCACTTAACCAGGGGTTAAGCAAAAAAAAGAATATAAGAAACAGGGTGCGGTTGGCTGAGAAGGAAACCCCAAAAGGTGAGTTCATCTTAAGAGGATTTAAATCTTCTTTCAATTCGGCATTCACACTTAATGGTTAATGATTTTAATGGCACTCGATCGCCGGCGACAGGTATTCTATATATGAATCATGATTCACAACCAGACGAAAAAAAAAAACCAAACAAAATTCCCAATCTGCGTTCGGAAATATTTTCTCGCCAGCTCTTCCGTTGAATTTGCGATGAGAAATGAGCGCACAAAGAAGTTTGTCGAACAATAAACCAAGTTTGGATGCCCTTTGCACCCTGTACAATTGAAGCAGTGCCACCCACAATGTCACTATGTCCTCCCAAAACCCCCCAATTTCCCAGACGCCGCCTGTCAAAGTTCCATCTCTTTCTTTCTCCCCCAGAAAGCGCTTTGCATGTCCGGCATTTCGCACCAATTGCCATTAAATTTGCACGTATAAAGCGAAAATGCCAAAAATATTTCACGACAACGAGACGGCTGGGAGCTTCAGAAACATCAGAATCACAAACAGAAACAGCGGCAACATCCCAGCAAGAACTGGAGTCGCAGCCAGAGCAAACATACAACACACAGCAGCACAGGCGACAATCGACAAAAGTTGGCAACACGTAGTCGGGATTGGCTTTGTGTGCACTTCGAGAAAAATATATAGGCTTTGGGAATATTTATAGACTTTATAAGTATACTTTTAGAAAGTAAGATTGTAGATTTTGCAAGATTATAATACTTTTTGTCACTAAGAAAAGATCTTACAATCATTATTAGATTGTTAATTTAAAAAAATATTATTATATTATATATATATTATATTATAAATATTCTCTCTAACGAATCTTTATATTTTGTGATATCATAATATAATTTACGATCCGTTTCTTATTGTCTAAATGTATTTTATCAAGATCCCTTTTCAAGTGATCTTGTCTTTTCTCAGTGCAACATACGAGTATCTAGTAATCTTAATATAGTTTCTGAAAGTGTATTTGTTCTAGAGGCTTTCTTGTTAAAGAGGTGTTCATCAGTCCTAGAATAAATATATCATTTTAAGCATGATCTTAAGTTAAGATAATCCTAAAAATAAAATAAAATATAATAATATCTTAGTTTGCTAATGACAAATTATATTAGTTCTATGGTAAATCTAAGTAAAATATTGTATTCTTCTGGATACTAACTCCTTATAAAAGTGTACGAACTCAATGACAGAACTGAATGATTTACCCTTATTTTTATTAGAGCAGACCTCTGCGAACCCATTTCTTTAAGTGCCTTGAATGCTATGGGTATTGGGCAGCGTTTCGGCTGCTGGGAGCGGGTGGTTTTTATACCCGGCTTTTCTTTATGGCAGTTTCAGATGCTGCCCTTGGTGTTGCTGCTGTTGTTGTGGTGATTGCTGCTGTTCCATGGCGGCAATGGCAATGGCAATGCGACAAATTCCACGCTCAAATGTTCGACACGCGCCGGCGCATTGGCCAGAAAAGCCAATTTTTTCGGACAAGAGCCAATCTCTGGACCCATGGACCAAGAGCCATTTGCACAAAGGACCAAGAAGCCGGGATGAACTGAGCAGCCGAGTAAGCCGGCGGGCCAAAGGATGCCGGCAAAGCGGAAATGTTCAGTTCATTAGCGAAACGTGCGCGTCGTGTTATGGACGTGCCGGCTCTCAGAATCTTAGAGACTCAGAATACTAGAATTTCCGAATCAAACGGTTGGTAGCACTCGCTTTTGGTTTCGACCATCCTATCTTAACTGCCGTGTAAAGTGGTAAAGTGAGTGGTGAGTGAGTGAGGAGAGCGCGCGCGCGACTTGCAAACTTCTATTTTGGCCAACAAAATATGTAGAAACGGGGAGACAAAAGCCAAGTGCGAAATTGCCAACTTGCCGTCCGAATAATTAAATAATTAATTGAACCGAACAAAGGAATTCGGAATTTTTGGCAAGGCAAAAAGCGAAGAGAGAAGCAATTAGATGGGTTTAATTATAGGAAAGGTCAATACTCAGGCGGGAGTCACGCACTTTTTTTTTTTGGTTAGGGAATAATAACCATATAGTGTTGGCCAAGAAGAACCGGTTGGCCAAGCAAGCCTTATTTGTCGTGTGTTTGCCGCCTTGTTTAATTAGAAGACGACACCTGTACTCTGCATTTCGACTGGGTTCCTTCAGCATCTCTTTTGTTTGTTTCTTTTTTCTGGTTTTTTGGCCCAAACCAAAGCAAACCAAACCGCAAAGAGCCGCTTGATGGCCAACTGACTGACTGAAAGCAGCATCATCCTCTGCAGCATCATCATCATCATTACTACATCATCATCATCATCGTCGTCGTCGTCATCATCTTGGCCAATTCTTCTTCTTCCCCTTTTGGCCATGGCCAAGACCAAGACGGCGACCACGAAGTTGCCAACGAAGACCAAGAACTTGCCGAGTTGAAGAGCGTGTGAGCCGAGTTGAGAGTAGTAGTTTTGCTTTTTGGCCAAAGTTACATGCTCGCTGCGCAGTCGACGTCGCTGCCGGCGTTGCCAAAGCCGGCTTCAAGCGGCGGCCACTGCGCTGCAACAGCGGCGCCGGCAGCGGCAGCAGCAGAGCAGCAGCAGCAGCAGCAGCGTAGTGAGATCCAATTGATGAGCAGTTCAGTTTGCTTTTGCTTTTGCTTTGCTCACACAGCATTTGGAGTGTGTTTGTATTTGTAGCTCTGGTGCCGTGTTCTTAGGCGCTCTCTTTTTCGCTCTCTCTTCGCTGCAAGTTGTTGCTGCCCGCGTCGCTGCCGGCGTCGCAGTCGCCAGCCCATACCTTTGATTTTCAAAAATAAAAAAAAAGCCGCGCTACGTAGGCTATATAAATAAGCAGCGAGAAGCTATTGGGTCCGAGTCTCTTTGAATTTTATGAAGCGGTTGTATCTTGGTGGTGCCCCAAGCAGCCGAAACGAACCATCCAACCGCCAACAGAGAACCACCACCTCAGTTGGCCAAAACCATTCTTTTGCCTTTTACCTCTCCAGTGGATTATTTTTGCCCTAAAAAAAAGATATAACCAACGAAAAAATAAGAAACATCAAAAAAACTGTCAAGTGAACACAAATACCGAGTTGAACAAACCCATAAAGTGCGCGAAATGTTGAGCTACGTGTAAAAGCGATTCCAAGGATCCTCTATAACTCTGTGAGATTCCAAATCAAAAGAATCGAGAATCGAGAAAGAAAGTGGCTAGTGATCCCATAGAACACGGAGAGTTCTAAAACGACAAAAATCCGTTCTGTTACTTGAGTGAAAAAGGTGAGTTTCGAGTTGCAGAGAGTCCTTATCACAGGACTTTGTGGTATATTGTGGCATAGAAGATTTTCTAAAAAATATATGATGTGTTAATTAAATGTGCTAAAACCAATTTTTTATTTTAAATAAATCTTTAATATTTAAATTCTAGAAATTCTTTGTATTAAAATGTGGTCAGTTAAAAAAAATGGTTTTACAATTTTTAAATCAGAACTATTTAAATTATTCATTCTTTCTGAATGATATCATTATATATTTGGAGTTCCTTGAAATCTCCTTTTTATTATTTAAGAAAACTCAGGTTTTCAATTTAAATAATTTTTTTAAAAATTTGTTAAACTATTTCAAAGATTTCAATCCACTTTTAAAGTTATTCAAGATCCTTCGACAATTAATTCTGTCTGAGATGACTAACATACAAGTCTTGAGCAAATTAAAAAAATTACTGCGCCAACTTCTATTGCCAATAATAATTCATTTGCGGGCAATTTAAACCGGTGTTATATGCACATGTGTGACGCGTTGCGCAATTGTTTAAAGCCCGATTCAGTAATTATTCATTTCCGCGACCGAGACATTTTCCCCCATAGGGGGTTCTCACCATCATCATCGATATTGAAAAGTCCCCATTCTGAACTGGGGTGTCAACTCTTTCTAGGGCAAAAACCAGACCTCCCATTAGGGCCATTTTCCCCAAGTGGTGGGCCCAAAGGGAAGGGGTCACTGCATAAGCCGCTTTAATCTCAACGGCTGCCAATTAATACAAATTAATTTGCTTACAACAAAATTAAAGCGAAAGCCAACCAGGCGTTAAAACGGCCTCAAAGTTATTCATTCATAAAAAAAAAGAGCTTCGGCTCGGCTCGACGGCTGCTGGTGCAAATTGCAGCCATTCAGTCGGTGGCTGGCTCATTCATCCACAACTGGCTGGTGGCTGGTGGCTGGTGGCTGCTGTTTTCTGGCTGCACTACTGCACCACCGCTCCACTGCACCACTGCACCGCTAACGTAACTGCCACGCGCCGCAACCCAGACTGCCTTTTGGCCTTTTGGTCTCTTGGCCACGACCATTGTGCAAATAGTTTCCGCATGCACAGGCAAAAAAGTGCTCTTTAAAAATATCATATTTAAAAAATTACATTCTATATGATTTTTAATATTTAATAACTCTTTGGGAATTTTCTCATGAAAAGAATCTCTTAGGTGAGTGAAATATTCCTTTCTGATAACGATTTCTAGATTCTATTCTAATTGTTTAAAATAAAACACCTAATATTCTCTCAAAAAGTTAAGGGAACTTTAAAGTTTAATTTTATAAATCTATTTTATGATAAATTGATTATCTTTTCATCTGTAGAACTTTTGAAGATAGTTTCATATTTAACTTTCAAACCTCTTTTTCCTATACTGTTTGGAATGTCATTAATTATTAATAGGTAATTATTGAATTCTTGAAGTTCTGAAAATATTTTCCACGTGCCTTTTACCGTAGTTCATGAAAAGTCTGCCCTAGACTGAAAATTTCCATTTAGCAGCTCTAATTAGAATTTATGCCCACACCAACTGGCGCGGAGCTTTAAATGGCCAGCAGGCCAGCGTCGACATTTGTCAAACTCGTAAAAACTAAAATTGCCCGAATGTAAAAGCTTTTAGTTAGCCATAAATAATACAAACTATGGCTGGAACAACGAGCCCGTCGAGAGAGAACCCATACGAAAAAGCCCCATGAAATGAAAGCCAAAACGATATATTTATAGTAGTTACAAGTGCGCAGGGAGGATGGGTTCCTGGTCTAGGTCCTGGACCTGGTCTGGTCCTGATTCTACTCCCAGTTCCCAGTTTCCAGCTCCCAATTCCCGCTTCCTTTGGCCGGGGGCCCAATAAAAAATGCAAATAAAACGCTGCCGCAATATGTGACCATGCTTTTCCCTTTTTCCCCATTCGAAAAAACAACCAAACGGCTGGCAAACATTTTCAACCTGAAATGACTTTGAGTGTTATTTGGTTTGCCAGAGATTTCATTGGCAGCTGGCCAGAGAGTTTGAGCCTGACATTTGAGGGTTCTGACCATGACTGGACTCTGTGGCATCAGCAGCAGGTGTTTGGTTGTGGCTCCCTTTTTTTTCCCCAGCCATGTAAAAGTGTCCCTGTCCCTGGTCCTGGTCCTGGAAAATAGTGTGATTTATAGACAAAACTCCAATGGGGGGGAGAAATTTTGACATTGGGTTTTTTGTCTGCAGCGGCGCCAGCAGGAATACAGATTTATTGATGAGCCAACAGGAAACATGGCCAATACGGGTATCGGAAACGGAGTCTAGTTGTATAGTTGTAGTTGCGGCCATGGCTATTCCGATTTCATTTTGTGGTTTCATCATTTTTTTCTGCAGATTCCACGGCACATCTGCTGCAGCATTTTAATTAAAAATGCCTGAAATGTCTCTCGTGGTAGTGCCAATAATGATGACATAAATGCCTCGACTTAGGGCACTTTCAGTCGTGTGGTTTCGTTGGCTGCGGTTGCGGATTGAATAAAAAAAGCGTAGAACTTCCGTTGCCCCAGGCAAACAAAAAAGTCGGATAGACATAGAAAGATAGATAGGCTGAAACTTTGCTGGAACTCCATCACTCAGGGGAGCGAATCGCAAAGTTCGACACTTTGTTTTCTGGCCAACTTTTACGAGCTTATCGCCGGCACACACGGCGTATGCTCAACTCGATCCACCTGAGGGTTTGATGAACTGTAGCAGATCCACCACGACTTTCCATAGTCACTTTCAGTACGGCATTAATTTGATGCCTCTGTCCAAAACGCTTTCTTTGTATATCTTGTTCCGAGTTGAGCTTCTTTGGCCAAAAATTATCATCACAATTAAAAGACTGTGTGCAACCAAGTTGCTAAAAACAAAACTTTATTCTTGGCCTCTTGGGCTCTTTAACTTTTATGTTAATTTATTTTAATTTTCGTCTTTTTTCGGAAAGAAAGATTAAAGCAGCTGCGGAGGACAGCTCCCTCCGAGATGCGCAGAAAAAAAGTCTTTAAAATATTTAATTGGCTGCCATGAAGCTACTATTTTAAGTTATGATGCGGGCCCCGACACACCTGAGTTCTGACATCAGCATGCCAGAATATTATACAAGATCACAGAGAAAGGAGCCATCGAGAACTTGGAGTCGAGAAGCCGACAAATTACATAATGATAGGCTGGTCCAGGCTAATGTCTCATTGTTGGGCTCCCATTTTGCCGTTAGGCTAAAGACCACCAGAAACCAGATGAAAAAGAAGACGTGACAGGATGATGAGGAGCATCACATCATGCCATCATCACATACCATCCCATCACATCGCATAATTTAATTAGAACCACTGTATGCAAATGATATGCTGCGCTAATTGAGTGAAAAGCTGTGCGAAAGCCTAATGAGCCGAGGCCGGGTCATGCATTTCATCTGGTGTTCAGTATTCGGTACCCAGTATCTAGTATCTTCCATCTCGTATCTCGTATCTGGCGGATGCAAGCCACTCCGGTCGTGACTGCCACACTCGGTTATCAGTTAATCCGATTATGGCCCGTGTCTGTGAACCCATAACACACAAAAACAGGGCCTGTCGATGGCCAATATCATGGGATTTCAGCCAGAGTTTATGGCTTTAAAGGTGCTGAAATTATGTCATATAAATGTAGCTTTTCTGGTTATAATACAAATTAAGAAACTTAAGGTGTCCTAATATGATATATAATATTTTAAGATATTATACCTCTTTAAACACCTGTTATAGTTTGATTATATCATACTTCTTTTTTAGCTCAAAGACCCCCATAGTTATTTAGTTTTTAAAATTAGACAAATGACAAATGTCTAGCCTAATGGTTTTCACTCTGCCCCTGATGATTCACAAATATATCAATCCATTAGCAGTTTTTGATATATTATCTATCGTCTTGAGATAGCCAAAGATGCATGTTCAAGAGATCGAGACACAGGCAATCTTAACAAATTAAATTGTGACGCTGGCAGTTTTTTCGCCTATTTTCACCTTGGGCATTTTCTGCGCATTTCGCAGACCCTCGAAGACTTGAACACTTGAAAACCGAACATCATTCCCCCTCGCAGCGAATTTTTTGTGATTTTAAAGTTTAATTGAGTAAATCGGTTTATGCGAGGCATTAGTTTGTTTGTTCGTCTCTGGGTTTCCATGGGCCCAACTGGCCGGCAAAGAAAGTAAGCGCAACTAAGCACATTACGACTAAGCGACGACACTTGTCTCGCATTACGCCCAAGTAGCCATGGTAGCCATAGTCATTTGGCCAAATAGCCAAGGTTAAATCGTGGTCTAGAACCGGGGGAACTTGGGGCAAGAACTCCGGGCTGCGGACTTTAAAGTGTGTCGTTTTGGTGGGGCGCGAATTTCTCTAACCCAAATTGTTGTTGCCGCCGGAGACTCGGAAGTTTTCAGAAGTCTGCGGCTGCGATCTGGTTTGCAGCCGATGCTTTCGAGTTCAATAGCCAAAGAAAGTGTCAGACGGTAGAAAGAAAAAGTGTGCGGAACGGAACGGAACGGGCGCGACATAGATTTCATTGGCCATTTCTTTGGAGAGAGAGACTAGGCTATGTTCAATCTGGCGCACCTGGCGTATGCGTAATGCCTGTTATCAGCCATAAAAAATGCTAAAATGCACTTGGCAACTGCCTGTTAATGGGTGTTAATGGAACCAAAGGATCATTTAAGCCATTCCGAGGTCCATTAACTTGAAACTCCATTGCTCCATTGCCCTGGCAGGCATTTTGGCATGGCTCTTAGAGCTAGAAAATATAATTTGATTCAATCTCAAATGGCGAGCATAATGGCCAATAAGGCCAGTGGCAAACTAGGGCCCGAAATTCAATGCGGTCAAGGTGTCAACGTGCACGATGTTTGTCTACTGCACAAATTAAATAGATATGTTTTGCCGGCCATTATTACTTTATCAACGCAGAAACGGGTCCAAATAAGCATCCAAAATC